TGGTTTTCTCCTTTCTGAGCTTTAAAGGAAAAAAAGCACCAAATAATTGTTTCTTATACAAAGTTGTTTTGAGGCTTCTCTGTTTATCACTCTGGAAGGATATCCCTTCTCATCTCAATAAATATGCAAGTGTTCTTAGCCAGGTTCTCCTTGCTTCTGGGATAATTTCCCCAAGGGTGTGTGCTCAGTTGTACCTTCTCACTCCCTTCTTCCATAGTTCAGGAGTTCTAGGACCCACAACTGAGTCTTGAAATCTTTCGTTGCCCCTACCATAGCTCTCTTGCCTGCTCCTTAGTGACTGAGGGTCTCCTGTGCATTTTTTTACTCCCTTCCACACTTTCATTCTACCAAAACTACTCTTCCCCCCATTTAGAGTGTTAAGTCCCTTTTCTTCACTTTTCCTGGTGTTGGTGCATGGTTTGTTTTCCACCCCACTTTAGCTGAAATAAGCTGTGTTTTGGACTCAAAGCTGACCTTCTGCTCATTTGTGTATGTAGATAAGTACAGCTGTTATCTGTTCAAGCTGCTAAGCTGTGTATTCCTCACACGGGTCTGGGAAAGAAGAAGCTGACTTTAATCTAAGCAGAGAACAAACTGATTAAATGTTCTTTCAGTCAGAGTGGGACCTTTAGTCAAATCTTCAATAACAACTGGCTATGGAGTTGGTGTTTTAAATTGTGTAGACAAAATTACTCCACAGCTATCGTCAGAGCCATTAGGGTGTTTTGAAATTTGGTGAAAGAACAAACTGTACAAAAAGAAAACCTAATGTGCACATTTCTGACTGCAAGCAGAGCTGAAGTTGAAAGTTCTGACAGTGTACTGGAAGTGGACAAACCTATTTTCAGTTCAACCTTTCAATTGCAAGATTGAAGACAATAAGCTTATAAAGGAAACAATTCACTAACAATCAAAATCTGGGCAGTTAGGTTTTTTTCATATGGGCTAAAACTTATTACTACAAAAGTGCTTTTAATAATAGATTTTGCTTTATGTTCTGATTTGTACATTTTGGCCTTGAGCAATTAGACATAAACTTACTTTAACCAGGGCCAAGAATACTAAACCAGGATGCGAAAAATGTGCATGAAACACAGCAAACAGTTAAAATTAATCTCAAAGCTGTTATAGACTCTGCAGTTGATGTATTTGAAGCCTTGTAGAAGAATTACATGTGTACCATTGGCTACATTATGCACATAAGGGACAGGAACCAGGAGTCATGTTGCTTCAGAAACATCTTCTAGTCCAGAAGAAAGCCTCTATGACTGGAATCCACTAGGGCTGAGATTTTCAAGCAGGTTTTGATCCATTACTTGTGATCTTAAGGAGTGGTACAGCCAAACAGGACTGAACCAGAGGCAGCATGCTCCTGCACAGCAAACACTGTCTTCAGGAGCGAGGTCTTCACAGCGGCAGCCAGAATGTTCACACAAATTTTTTAAAAATTTTATTTTAAATGGGTCTAATTAAAGACCAGAAAGGAAATATCCAAGCTAAAAAATATACTTCTGAATTTTAAATGTCAATTACAACAGGTAGAAGATAAAAATAATCAAGTTGACCACATTGTAGCATTAGATTTTTAGCAAGTTGGATTTTAAATTTTTTTAAATTAAATTTTCTAAGTTAATGAGATGATGTAAATTTTCCTCAATTTTAAATTTTAAATTCTTCCCTGTTTAAAGGTATGCAATACTGTGTTATTACTTCTTTGTATCTTTTACTTTCATATTCCCCCTGAAAGAACTTAGGTGAATTGAAGCAATGGAATAAAAAGCCTTTAAAAAGTTCCAAAGTAAAATCACAATTCTGAAGAATTAAAGTGGAAAAAAATGCACTTAACAGTTACAAATAAAGAAGATATAGAAAATAAGTATGTACATATATTATGACTTTTGAACCTTCTAGGTATGGGAATTTTGCTGGCTGTTACAATAAATGAGAAAGTCAGTTTTTAGATGGTTAAATGGATGTGACCTCAATAATTTGTGGAAGAATTTTCTGAGCAATATTCAGAATGTGTGAGATATGAAAAATAAAAAATAAAGCTGGTTCAAAAAAGCTTGCAAACTCTTACTGTTTATCTTGTCACTGTGGCAGAATATAAAAAGTACTCCAAAGAAACCTTGATTGAAAATTCTCAACTAATATTGGGGATTTGACAGAAAGCAATTAGATTTCTATCCAGTCACTCAGGAGGAGTGATCTCATGGTTTGTCATTTTATGCTTCTTAATTAGGTAGAATTACTAACCTCCTCTCCATAAATCATTATCCTTTAAATTGGTTTTAACAACAACCCTGTTACAACTTAGTCACAAGTGGTAGCAGAAAATTAAATCCTCAACCCTTTTACGGATGAATTTTGGAAGTTAAATTGAAGAGGAATACTGAAATCAAAAAGTCAGTTACTGTATATAATACTGTATTTTGGCTTTACACATCAGCTATACTGGAGCTGTAATTCAGCAAAGAACTTGAGCATACGCTTAGGTCCTGTTGAAATAAATAGGATTTAAATCTGAGCTTATGCTATGTATATAGATATATATGCATTGAAAAGCTTTGTTACATGGAGTGATTTGTTAAACTAGAACTAAATCAGAATTCTTTTCTTATGCTTTCCAAGTCATCATTTAAATTAGACTTTGTTCTGACTTGAAGTTTATAAATTATTTTTAGGATGGGCAGTCTGCTGGCAATAGAATATGACATATTTTCTTGCACTGAATAATAACCTACCAGTGTTATTTATTTTATGTATTTAAGATGAAAAAATAAAGTCAGGCCAGACTAGAAATACTTTTGTATGATTTAAGATTGCTGTATATTTATCCAAATTAATTGTATAACTGACTTTCAAAAAATACCCTGTATAGCCTATGCAAAATGGTATGTAGTATAAATCTGTTGCACGCAGAGTAATATACATTGCCCATTAGAAAAAAGAATAAGATTGCTTGTAGAAGTGTAAATATATGGCAAATTATCTTCAGTAATTAGTAATGCAGACTGCTTCCATCTTTCATTTTGTGATCTGCATTCAGAAGGCTTTTCATTAAACTTATCTATTTGACTGCGAGAGGGGGAATAAGTCTCAAATATTTACATCTATAGGATGTCCTGTGTTTAGTATTATATGTGTGGGAAAGGTTTCTGATGCTGTAAGCTCTAAACATTAATTTTAAAAAAGAGAACACAGTCTCAATAAATGAAAAAAATCTTTTAATTCCCCAATGAGATTATAGCTCTAATTAGTAGTATTAGAATTGACATTTGTAACACATCAAATTACATTTTTGCATTAGCTTCTATAAATAAAATATTTTCATCAACTTTACATTTGCCTGCATGGCAGATGTGCTGATTATTCTGCACTTGTCTGGAAAACACTTAGAAACTTGATGTGGAGCCAAAATATGCATGGAGACAAGTAAATTGCCAATTGTAACATTTTTTTGCCAGCAGCTTCCTTAGTCAAGCAAATCAAGTACCATTCTATCAGCACTAAAATCAGACAGCTTGAGACTCTGCTACCATTTTAAAACTTTCCCTTAGCAAAGACACTGTAGTGGAAAATCCCCAGCTCAGAGGTGGGGATAGAGAAAATGTAATCATTTACTTGTCACTATGTGTGCCTGTAACCAGGACCAGCTTTCCAGGTATTCCACCCCCCAATTACAGGGCTCAAGTGTGGAGAAGGATCAGAAATACATTAGATAGATTAGAAATGAGACTGTTTTTCTCATTAAAAACACAGAGCTACAGCACAACTACACTGTAACCCTCAACAAACGAGGTTTGTTAAGTTTTGTGCAAGCAGGGGAATGATGATGTTATTGCATGTTCACCTTTCATTCCCCTCTCTGATGGAGCATTTGGGCCCTCTGAAATAGCTGAGACAGAAAGAAAGATTTTTGGACAAACATCACAGGGTAAGGTCAGGGCATGGCTGATCTGAGAGCTGCATTACTGTGACAATGTAGCCGAAATACCTGGATGATCAATGTGCCATACAGCTCCCTGTCCCCTGTTCCCAAGTATGCACCTTCCCCTTGCTGATTGTCTCTTAGTCTCTATGTTCTACTAAAATAATAGTAACACCAAACAAAAGGGGATCCTGGAGAGAAATCTTTTCATATTATGGTCTCCATTCCTCCCAGAATTGAACCCCAATGTGTTTTCTCTTGAGTGACATTTTGCCTCTTTCAGTTTTCTTTACAGCAGAGTTCATTTCACTCATAATGCGAGTGTTTTTTCAGCTTTAAATCTATTCACTCAGAAGCCCCAGCTCTTCTTTCAGCTCAGGCTGGCTGTTTGCTCTGGAGTGAACTGGTCTATGGCTGAAACCAGCACAAGGCACCACAGCTAACACAGCTTTTCTGAGGAAGAGTTACTCCTTGGATTGAACTCTGCTGGGCCTTCATCAATAAAGGCACCAGGCATCCTCCATGGCTCTCTAGGCAGAACTGTGGTGGGTGATTTTTCAGCCATGGTGACAAAAACTCGGGGGGTAGTTTCTAGGAGGAAAACTCCTACACAACATGGTAGTACCAGCACAGACAGAGTAACTCAAGATCACAGCCAAACTCGGATCTGGCAGCTCAGGTGATTGGAATTACAAGTCTACTGAACCACCAGAAGTCACCTTCTCAGTAGCAGAAATTTTATTTGTTGCTAAATGAAACTGTTTTATCTGCCCCAGAATTAAACTGGGGCACTGCATTAAAGCCAACTATCACTGACTCAGTTCTGCATTAACATGAGATCTCTAGGCTGTAGTTGCCAAGTTCAAAAACCAGCTGGGGGCTTCCTGCACAAGAACTGGGTTGCTAGAAGGGTGTGTTAAGCACAGCTGGCAAATCCCTCTGCTGCTGTCTGCAGCACACCTGAAGTAAACCCATCTTGATTTTAATTTACTGTGGAGCACTATACTGACATCAAGCTGGTTCCTGAAACAGCTGTTCTGTGAACAGCTCAGCTAGCCCTGTGTGAGGAATGGGCCAAAGTGAAGATGGAGATAAACTTTATCAGCTGTCCTTTTTCATCGATTTGGGACCCAAGGTAGATGAGTTAAAATGAGAAGATGATCTCATTCTTCTAATCCCCCTCAAAATCTCATTCTTCTAATCCCCCTCAAAAAGGCAGACACAGTGATTGTGTCTGCGATTGACCTTTCCAAGCTTTGGCCCCTTTTAGCTGCACAAGTTTGCGGACCTGATTGCAATGCTGGAGATGATGCAGGAGCTAAAGAACTGCTGGACTTCCCCTGGTGGCATTTCAAGTTTTGCATACACATGAGTACAGTTAGGATAAAGCCAGTGGAAAATCCAGGTCATTAGGTTGGCACTGAGTTTTCCAGCTGAATCTGTCCCCATTACATGTTACGCAGGTGCATTATGGAGAAAAAAAAAGTAAGAAAAGAGAACTATTAGTATGCCTGACTTGTTGCTGATAAGGTTTACAAAAGCCATTTGTAAGTGGTTTATCATACAATATTTCCTTCCCAGCCTCCCAGTCAACACAGCCTTATGGATATTTAGGGCATTTAATTAGTTAATAACAGAATGTAATCAGGTGAACACAAGAGAAGCTTCACACCATTCACTTTCTTTTCTTCTGCTACATTTTATGCAGTAGATGCTATAATCTCTCAGATAAACCTGCAATTTTCTAGCAAGCAAAAATTTCCCATGTTTCTCAGGCAAAACCTACAAAGTGGTCCTACATTAAAAAAGGGGGGTGGGGGAAAAAGGAAAAAAAAGGCAAGTCATACAGAAGTCATACAGAAAAAGTAGAAGCTTTAGAAATGCTTTCTCAGTTTAGCAGTGCACAGTAGAATGGCATGCATTTGAACTATGTATGTCCCCTGGAAACCCTGTTATTCACTAATAAAGACTGTTGGTATGGAAAACATGTTTAAGGCATGTTGAACAATAAAAGAACCATTGCACATGAGAAGCAGGAATACTTAATAAAATTGTTACAGAAGTAATCATAGATTTAAAAAATTTCTTTTAACCTTTAGTTTGAACTGGGCACATTTCTATGCCTCTTGTGTAGTTTAAACAAATGTTTAAATTTTGGTGAAGAAATTGGCAGGTGCCAGAATAATTTTTATGGCCATTATACAGCATGGCCGGCTATATTATTCTAATAATACTGTAAGCATTTTGATTCCAGGAAGCTAACAAAGAGTTTCTACCCTTTCTTAAAAGAGCAGTTTGACTGTGAAATTATGTAAAGGAGATGCATCAGCAAAGATGGTACTTTAAGTCACATATTGCTATTTCACAAATGTATGCTGTGATTTATTTTGCATTTGCATCACACATTCCCTCTCTGTTTATTTCTCCTTTGCAGTAAATTCCATGGAAGCATTGTTTGTAACTGTAAGTAGCATTATAAAGCTCTGTTTTCACTCAGTGCTGCCTCTTAGTCTGGAAACAGATGAAGACTTCAGTGAAAGATGTGCTGAAGAACATAAAAATTTTTTTTAAGAAACCAAATGACAAGAAGTCCACAGAGAGCACGACATTGAACAGTTTCAAGATGCTAAAATTTCCCATGGGACTGCCAAACCCACACAATCATCTACCATGATGTCTCCAGCATGGCATGCAGGTGACACAACGGTAATTATATTACAAAGACGTGAAATAGGTCAGGTAAGATAAAATAGGTGGAGTTAGTGAAACTTTAATAATTGATTTAGGAGTAATATTACCTAGATTAAATTCCTGATTTGCAACTGCAGATTCATTAAGTTGCTGTAGTAATATGTGGTAGTACTAGATTTATATATATAGACATATATGTATATATGCTGACTTCACCAACAAGCTTGAATAAGGTAATACTTCTATGGAGGGCTCCTTCTGCCCTCCATAGTCAGGAAAACAGGCAATCCACTCACCCACTAATGTAAATTGCATATTGCTTCTTTGATGTTCTTGGCTATTCTCAGTCAGAGAATAGCTGACTCTCAGCATGCATTTCCAGCACAATTATAAGCAGAGACTGTCTGTAAGGCAATCACATGATCTATTACAAACCAATACTTATTTGTGAAGTTTTTGTTAAGAGACTAGATGTGTTTGTGTTTCTGAACAGGAACAACTGTCAAAGGAATTTTTACTTTGAGTGAGTCAGCACTGAATGCAATTTATGTGCCTTTTTATTTTTAATCAAAGAAATCTAGAGTTTTCAGTATCTGAGGCAGCACAAACAAAAGATTTTTCCTAGTAATGTATATTGTGTCACAATATAGGTGTATCAAGAGTGTCTTATTTCTTTGCTTCTTTGAGAACATGATTTATTAAAGGAAAATCTGGTGTTACAAACACCCAGGACTTTGGGCAGTGGAAGGACACAAATCAATACATTAAACCAGTAGAAGCTAAAAAGAGATCTGAGGCTGCCAAGTCCCAACCATTTGCAATAGAACAGTAGTAAAAGAACATTACCAAAATAGATGCTTTTTGACTTAAATACATGGGGCAATCAAGTACCTAAAGTTATGCAATAATCTTATTGTGAAACAGTGGATCATCCTGAATTCGAACAAGACTTGCAAGTAGCAGAAGAAAGTAAATCTGGCATCAGTTTCTCTCTGTCACTCAAGCATTTATTTTTGAAAAATGAGCAGCACCCCAGAACAAAACAGGAAAACATTGGACAGCTTGGGCTTCTTTATGGCTGGCATTCCCTGGAGATACAAAGACACTGGAATCACTGATAGGATTAAGATATATATATATATTTATTATTCACAATTATTAAGCACTCCAGAAATGAAATCTGTTTAATCAAAAAAGTCCAATACTATTGTTGAATTTATGATTGAGAATGATAATTTATACTCTGCCTTTTAGTTAAATTGAGCAATACTGACAGGTACCATTGACTCCCCTCAGAAAAAAAGCATGAGAGAGAAAGAGAATGTATCCAAAGGTGATTGGGTACATCTGTGATAGGTGCTACTAAATGGACAGGTAACATTTATAACCTGAGTGCGTCAGCTGGCACAGGCAAGACTCAGGAACAACCACAAAAACACAGGTGAAATGTGAAGAGTAAATTTGATTTTGTTACCTCACCAGCCAGGCTGTCCCTGATGCAGCACTCGGGGAGAGAAACACACGAGGGGACAGAGGCACCACCTGGGGGCTTGGTCCAGGGATTCAAGCAGGTGTAATTTGGTACTCTGCTTGGGTCTTTCAGGAAGGAGGGAAGGAAGGAAGGAAGGAAGGAAGGAAGGAAGGAAGTGGAGGAAGGAAGTGGCGGAAGGAAGGAGGGAAGGAGGGAAGGAGGGAAGGAAGGAAGGAAGGAAGGAAGGAAGGAAGGAAGGAAGGAAGGAAGGAAGGAAGGAAGGAAGGAAGGAAGGATCACCAGCCCTGGTTCCAGGATCAGGTGAGCCACTGGATGTCCAGGATCCTGGGGCACACACCTGGGCTTCACAGGAGTACCTCTGCATAGAAAAGTTTCCCTGCCCTGGAGATGAGCTTCTCTCTGTGCAAATCAGTTCTCAGGTGCTATTCATTCTTTCAGACCTTTCTGGAAATGAGTTGGAGGTTTTGGGTGTCCTGGGTGGTCTTGATCCCCCTACAGCCCATGCCCACTTCTTGGCCTCATTCTTGCTGTGCTGTGCTTATTCCCAGGAGCCAGGACAAGGACAATTGTCCCCAAAAGTGCTGCCCTTGCTGTGTGTGTTCCCTTCTGCAGCCACATCCTGTTCTTTCTCACAGCATGCTCTTACCAGCAATTATTTGTTTTTATCAACAATCCTCATCTGTTACCACATAACTTTGGTTGGCTCCACAGCCATCGGGCTATGGGTGTTTGAGAGACACACAATATCTCCTTCTGGGATTCTACAGCAACAATGCACCATTCTGGGTACAGTAGGTTTGAAGTAGCACTTGGCTGAGGAGCAGAAGATGTTAACTAACTTCAGGCAAGCCAAACAGCATGAATGACTCAAAGTATGATTCTGGAGAGGGTTTTTTTGTAATTTAAAAGTCAAACACTGGCAAGAAATCAACCAGCAAGTGTTAAAACTGTTCTACTGTACTGCAAAATAATTGGGATGTCTTTGGCTAAGTTGAAAGTAATGTATTAGATCACATCCAGGGACTGTCCCAGAGGCATAAAGCTCTGCCATTTGCTTAAGTGTCATCACACAACACAGTGGCCTTGAATGTCCTTTGGTGATAAATTTCATCCAAGAGTCATTCCATTATCTCATCAAGGCCCTTAAATAACCATCTTGATCCAACTTCATACATACATTTGAAAGGTGATCTACTTTATAATATATAAAGGATGCTGTTTCACTCCATTCACCTACCAGACTGGTGCAGCAAGAAGCAGAAGGATTCTCTGAGAAATCAGATTTCTACATTCTGCCCCATCTCAATACTGTCTGTCCTGACAGCTGCCATAAGGTAGGGCACCACCTCAGGAGAAAAAAATCTCTATTACGTAAGACCACACTCTTTATTGATGAGACCCCAAAAGCCTTACTCTTACAAAAGAGAAAGGATCTTTGTTTTCCTTCTAACAGTGCTTTAACTCACAGCAGAACAAACTCCCAAAACATGTAAAACAGGTACCAAAGATGAATGTTCCCAATGCTCTTGCTTGGAGCTGTGCTCCAGAGAAGATAAAAGCTGTCTGAAAGCAATCCAGTTTGGGGAGAACAGTAACCAGTCTCTAGAAGAAAAATTACAAAGTTAAAACCAAATCCTACTGGATGAAGGATTCCACTAGGCTTTCTCCCTTGACCAGAACTCATGGTCCATGGGACCATCAAATTCAATCTACAAAGACGTTTTTGATCATTCATTTCAGTCTTTCCCAAGTCTGAATATTTCAATTTACTTGGTTAGGAGAGACACAGCACCCAGGTTCCTCACAGGACCACCAACATCTCCCAGCACAGGCCATTCTCAATCCTTTTGTGCTGTGCTCTGGGAAGATGCAGGACAGTAAGGCACAGGCAAGGGTGCCTCAGAGAAGACAGAGTTACAGAGCCCATGAATGTGTGGGCTGAAGTGACTGTT